CAGATAACCTTACTTCATTTGGGAACAAATTAATATTTAAACAGCCATATATATTTTGCTCAGCTAATATTACATCAGGGCTTGAACAATCCCCACTCACCCAAGATGACTAAGAATCTTTCTCAGATAAGAGATTCTCCAGAGGTTGAAGGCAAAGCTGTTACTTTTGGGGAAAAAGTACATAACTTTTGTTTGCTAAGGAAACCTTCCAAACATAAAGCAAGAGTAAACTGATGGAGTGACATGAAAATAAACCTCTCCAGCTGCCTTTGTAAAGGGAGAAGGCTGTCATTACAGTTAAAATAGTTGGAGGGATGCATGGACTCTGGGTTAAGAGCAGGATGCACTGTGGGGGATGGCACCCATACCCCATTAAGCAGAGGAGACGTTCTGGAGGGCAGTCCCTTTAGCGGGAGCCATGGAACGTAATTTCCCAAGCAGAGGGTTCTGTATGTCCATGGGGGACTGTGCTGACACTATCCCCATCAGAGGACTCTGTGCTGGGGGAGGGAGGAGATAGCATGCGCTAACTGACTATTAGAGAAACACCCAGCATTAATTTATTTGGACAATGGAAGGATGCACTAAATTGACTTATTTGGGTGTCTATAAGGTGATTTAATTAAATTATTGGAGGCAGTTTTGGTTAGTTTGTTTGGTGGGCAGCATCATTAATTGATATGGGATTTATGTGCTGGGGCTGCTGTTAACTGGAGATGCAGATTTTACCCAGCAGAGAACTGGAGTCTTTAAGCCCAATCCTGCTGGTGGGGTATCCCTGCTAGAGATGAAGCAAGAAGGGGTAGGCCTTGGGGTGGGGTTGTGGCTTGAGAGTACCAGTGTATGTCAGCCTGGTGAGCAGACTTTATCCTCTGGTGAGTGTGACATTCCCCTCTGGTGTTGTCTGGACCAGTGATCTACTAGGCCACTTCAATCCTTGACTCTGGGAGCCAGCCTTATCCTGCTCTGCTGTGAGAACCCCCATTCCTGGGCTGTTCACACACAGCCTCTGGCATGTAAGCTGCTCCCAGCTACTTGCAACCGAATGACGCTAGCCAATATCTCCGGTCCCAGACACAATCTTAGGAACCTCAGTCTTGCAGCGTCCAGTTATACCTGCTGGACGCTGCAAGTTTATATAAGTTTGTCAGTTTAACAAAGAAATTGATATGTACCAGGCTTGTTATCCCAAGGAGAGTCTCTGACACACTTTAAACTAAACACACTGCTTTAGATAGAAGCAACAAACAGATGTATTAACTATAAAGGTAGATTTTAAGTGATTATAAGTCAAAGCATAACGAGTCAGATTTGGTCAAATGAAGTAAAAGCGAAACGTATTCTAAGCTGATCTTAAAATTTTCAATGTCCTTAAAAACTTAAATGCTTCTCATCACAGGCCGGCTGATTACTTTTCAGTCAGGCTCTCCCCTTTGATCAGCATTTCAATTGCTTGGTGGTGGTGGTGGTGGTGTCTGTAGATGTAGGTGGAAGAGAGAGAGAGCATGGCAAAATGTCTCTCCCTTTTATCATGTCTTTTCTTTCCTCTTGGCTTTGCCCCCCCCCCCCCCCCCCCCCCTTTTCAGAGTCAGGTGAGCAT